CCAGAGAGGAATAGGATGCCTGACATTTTATGCAAAAAAAAAAAAAAAAAAAAAAAAGCTGAATTTGAGTATAAAGGGGTGTGAACCACAGAAGCCTGTCTTCCTGTGCCAGGGACTTCACAAGAGGATTAGCATGAGTTAACAGGTACTAGTCATTCAGGAATTCCCACCACCCTAGCAGACAGTGTACAAACTGGTAGCAGACAGAAATGTAATGTGTAATTATCCTAGTTTAGATGATCCTGCAGTGGAGATCTTTCACATCCATGACTTAATTTGAATTCTGGGAAATTTTAAGGTTATTGCCTATAATCTCAGCCACTGAAAAGCTGGGGCAGGAGCATCAGGAATTCACAGCCAACCTAGACTACATAGTTCAAGACAAACCTTAACTATATAGCAAAAAATAAGGTTATTTGTTGCTTAAAAACAAAGGCCAAGGATATAGCTCAGTAGCACAAGTGCCTGTCAGGCAAGTGCAAGGTCTTGTGTTGGGTACCAGAAAGGGCACCAGGGTTCAGAGAAAGAGCTCAGAGGCATAAGGACCTACCTGGCAAGTACAAGGACCTGAGTTCGATCTCCAGCCCCACATGCTGGCGCCCACTGTAATCCCAGCATTTGGGAGGTTGAGCCAGGAGGATCTCTGCGAGTTCAAGACCAGCTTAGGGTCTACAAAGGTGAGCACAAGGCCAACCTGAACTACATAGTGAAACCCTCTCTTAGGGAGGGTGGGGGCACCAGGCGTGTAGTGGCACACCTGTAACTGTAGGACTCACACTTGGGAGGCTGAGATAAGAGGACTGCCAAGAGTTTGAGGCTAGCCTGAACTACAGAACAAAACCCTGTCTCCAAAAGGGGTGGGGTGGTTGGCTAAGGATGCAGCTCAGTGGTAGACCACTTGCCTAGCAGACTTAAGGTCCTGGGTTTGATCCAGGATAGGAGAAAAGGGGCTTCATGGTAATTCAGACTGCTCTGAAAAGCATCCTAGTTGGTCTTTGAATTATATCTTTCATGGAATAGAATCTAGATACTGTCCAACAGTGACAAGAATTGTTCAGAAATTCCAAAACTGGAAATTCCTCGTAAAAGCAATTCTTGGAATAATACATCGCTGCTAAATTAGGACAAGCTGTGTGAGATGAATTCTAATGAGTACATTTTTAAAGGAACTAAAACCAGTAGTAAAATTCACATTCACTTTATTGACTGCTGCAGTTCAGCTTCTGGTGCATCTTCCAGCTTTATCTGATGCTGCCTTTCTGAGGCTTTTCTACGGTAGACATCATCTGTATTAAACAAAAATTTTGCTTAGATTTTTTTTTTAATTTATTTATTTGTGTGTGTGTGTGTGTGTGTGGCCAGCTCAGCCCTCCAGGGTCGGGACTGGCTGGCATGTGGTGCTGGGGGATTGAACCGCGGTCCCCGTGCTTTGCTAAGCTTGTTCTAAGTAGGTGCTTTAGACCACTGAGCCATCTCACCAGCCCCTGCTTAGATTTTTAAGAAACTAAAAATCTTAAATATTTCAACTAGTAGTCTGTAAACTATTACTGAATTTCAACACTGTTTAACTCAATGCCAGAATAAACTTGGAAACAAAACAGCTTAAATGAGGACTGTGTTCATGGAGTTCTAGTCTTAAACAGGACAGATACCATGGCCTTCCAAGAGAACCAGGCGTGGGTACTTCCCTTAGTCTTTTCAGACAGCTTTCACTTCTCCCAGCGGTTTCTAATCTGCCTTCTACACTCATCCTTAACTAAAAACCACCCTCTGTCTATGGCATACGCCTCTAATCCCAGCACTCTGGAGGGGATCAAAAGGAAGCAGGATCAAAACCTTGAGTCCAGCCTGGGCAATTTAGCAATTTGGCAGTGAGAACCACTCTTTTTAAAAAAGGCTGAGGATGTAGCTAAGTGTAAAGGCCTGAGTTTGATCTCCAGTACTGCAATTTTTTTTTTTTTTTTCAGAACCGAGGATTGAACTCAGACCCTTGCGCTTGCCAGGCAAGTGCTTATTCTACTAAACCATCTCCCCGGCCCCACAAAATAAAATTTTAAAAAAGGCCTCACAAAGGCTGTTCTTGTCCTGTGTTCATAAGAGTTTTCTGGGGCCGGGGAGATAGCTCAGTAGAATAAGCGCTTGCCTGGCAGGCGCAGGGTCCTGAGTTCAATCCCTGGTACCACAAAAAAAAATGAATAAGTAAAAATAAATTTTTTCCAACTTCCAAGGGCAGGTTCTACCAGGCAGTGGTAGACAATTCACTAGTTGTCTAGCCTCGCTCCGCTCCCTCTCTCATCAGCAGTTTATGTCCTCTAGTCCCTGAGGCTGAAGATTATTTTCCTTTCACATTTCTTGGGGTCTTGCAGGTTAGCTCAGTTGTTTAAGCGTCTGCTCTGGCAAAGCCAGTCAGGTGCAGGGGACCGCGATTCCATCCGCAAACCTGCCCTTCAGTCAGCCTGAGCCAGCCAAAAACAAAAAAACAAAAAAACTACATAATCACACTTTAACCTGTCTTCCGTGATAGCCTGACATCCCTCCTTGCTTCTCTGGCCATTCCAAGTCAACCTACACATATTGGGATTTGCCACTCTCATCACAATTTTCCTTTGATTGGTCCACAAATCCAGATTTCTGGCCCAGATGTGCCTCCTGGGCATAGATTTGTGTAACTGAGCCCATTCCAAGTGAAGGCTAAGTTCACACTGTTCTGTACCTGCAAGAGAAGCACTACCTCTGCCGCCGTTGTCCCACCAGAAGCTGCTAAGCTCGCTCTCTTGAGTGCCCTCAATCACCAAACTTGGTCAGCACTTACCCTAGACTGTCAGCTTCACTCATCTCTCTTGGTTTGTCTTCCCTAGCCTAGGTAAGGCCTCCACCCAACCCAAGTGTTCCTACCAATCTCTCCACATAGAGCCACTTCTCAAACATTTCATTCCTTGGCTATAATTCCTGGTTCTAAGAAAACAGCCCAAGGAATATATATATATCCTGTTGCCTTTGTAGCTCTGCCCAGACATCTTTGTAGCTATTTTCACCCTTCACTTGCTTCAGTCAAACAGCATTTACACAAGGTGTTTGGGCCTTCTCTTACACTGTCATGAAAACAATCCAACAGATTACCCCTGACAGTCTTCAGCACCTGTCTGACATGGTAACTGCCCAGCTAGAACTCCAGTTATCCTAGCACTTCCCCCCACAGCACTTAATGGGATTTGGAGCTTTTTTCCCTGAACCTAGGCAAGTGCTCTACCACTACAACCCTGGCCCCAAAACTAACACGATCTGGAGTCCCAATTAGCTCTGCCAGAATGGAAGACCTTCTGCCTTGTGCATTAGAACCTCTTATGGGTTGTCATTAAATATGGATGGATGGAAGAACAGAAGGGAACATTAACTGAAAATGAAAGTTACCAATTCACAAGTGATAGTGTTTCCGGAGGCAAAGCAGAAATGGCCTAGTACTGGCCTACAAAGGAATGCCATTCTTTTCACGATGCTGAGCTTGTGACTCCAGGCCAAAGACGTGGTGCCAATGGCCGCCCTGTAAAGACGGTGTTAATTAACTAAGCTACCAGACCAGCTCCTTCCAGGGTTTGAGATAGAGTTCTGAGAGGACAGGCTAGTAGCTAGGATGTCCGTGAATCCTCTGGATCCACCTTCATTCTGTTGCTGAGAGCAATCCTGTTCCTTAGACCCAATGTCACCGGCAAAGGTAAAAGGCAGGCCTGACTGGAGGAAAGGAAAGGAGGGTGCCTTCCCTTTAAATTGCATAAAGTCATGAAGGTGGACGTCAATGTACGAGGCGTACGAGTAAGTGATGGGCCTCTAGCCGGTGCTGCTCCAAAGCTGACAAGGAATGGAACCGCACTCGTCCTTCCCACAAGGGTGAAAACTCAGCTCGGCGCGGAGAGGACTGAGCAGTCCGCAGTCTAATAGCCCCTTAGCCAAAGGATCCCTGGCGCCTCGTGCCTTCTGAAGGGAAACGGAGGCTCCTGCACCCCCACTTACAGAAAGTCTCCTGGCCCACGCGCACTTTAATCATGATCCACTCCATAGTTCCTCCCAGGACAAAAAAGAAGGGCAGGAACCTGTAAACGCCAAACCGCTGCTTCCCGGGCACCCTCTGCAGAACTCGCCTCACTTGGGCCCTGGAGAACATGTTCGACTGAGACTGTGCAGACAAATACAGCAGATTCAAGGGTAGTTGGAGTGCCAGGACGCAGCCGAAACCAGCCTGCCTAGGACTCGCCCAGGCACCGGCGGCACCGAGCGAAGCTTGCGGGGCGGGGTGGAAGGCGACCTCCCGACCTGGGACCACCAATCAGAGCGCGCGTCGAGGCGTGCCGCTCCGCCAATTAGAGCGCCGTGGGTGGCGCATGCTCCGTGAGGTGGTCCCGGGGGGCGGAGCTTCCTACGTGGCGGGGCCGGCCCGGCTGCCCCGCTGCCCCACATCCCCAGCGCAGGCGGGGGCTCAGAGTGACGGCGGTGCCCCCTACCCTGCCACCGCCATCTTTTTTCCTCATACCCTAACGGAAGTGGCGACCTTCTAATGAGGCACTAATCATGCACTCCACCATACCCTCAAATGTAATTTAACTCCTCGCTTTCATTCCGAGGACGTGATCAGACTTCCAAAATAAACCTTTGTTAAAAGAATAATAATAAAATAAAGCTTTGTTGAAAGCCGATCTAAAGATAAATCATCCCAACAAAATCCTAAGCAAGCGTCTTGTGGTAACTCTACAATCAACGAGGCACGCGCAGGCGTTTTCAGAGCATCATCTCTTCATTCACAGTTCTGGGATCTTTCCCTGATGCTGTGAGGATTTAGCGAAAGAAACAGCGCTGAACACAGGCCTACAGCATAGGGACTCATCAGTTAACATCAGCTGTACATAATAATGACAGTGATGAGCCTGAGCCCCCGTTCTTCACGTGTATTCGTTAAGGGAGATGTTGAGAGTAAAACAGGTGAGAAAGCAGCAGCGCTCGGATCTCTGGGCCGTGTCCCTGCCCGGTGAAGATTGCCAGGGCGGAGCGGGTGGGGGATAACCAGAGCAAAAATGAGCTTTGAGAACGGAGCGAACTACTAGACAACAAGAGACTCGAATGAAGGCTTAAAACCGATAGGAGGACTTGGTTTTGTGGACGCAAGAGAGGCAAAGCGGACCCAGACGAGCGAGCAGTCTGGGCTGGCCCTGGAAGGCTGGCGGGCAAGTGGGAACACACTGCTTGGCGCTTGCTCCTGGCTGTCAGGGTGCTTCTGAGGCCTGGACCATGAGGAGCGTCCGCTCCCCCGAGAACCTTCGCGAGGAAGTCCCCAGCACCCACCCAGCTCGCCACGGGGGGCAGTAGCCCAGAAGCCCGCCCTCGGGCCTCCGTCCCACCAGCAGTGGGGCCTGGGATCCGGCCGGCCCGCAGGAGCTCAGGTGCAGCCGATCTTCGCATGTAAACACAATGAGCCACCCCAGAAAACCCAGCCGTCGGGCTCCTCGTGCCCCGGACCCACGGGTGCTGGGCCGGCCTCCTTGGAGACCAGTGCGTGCCCTGAAAATAGGCAGGCGCGGTGGTTCCGAGCGGGGAAGAATTGCACTGTGAAGTCCAGCTACACACCTCGGCACCGCAGAAATGGCCAGCGTCGGGCCATAAGGAGCCGGGCGGACAGATGCGGCCATCTGCTGCGGTCACAGCCGGGGTGGGCGGGCGCGCACCCTGCTCATGAGTACAAAGTCACCTATGCGGGGCACTAAGCAGCAGCTGCCCCGCTGATGCCACCCATTGTGGAACTGGCACGGGAAGCACGGGAAAAGTGCTTATTCCACTAGGTAAGTGAGCGAAGTGGCCCGGGTTCGGGACAGCAGACAGAATCTCGCGAGGCGGGGCAGGAAGAACGGGAAACCGGGAGGTTGAGGCACAGGAGGGCCCCGGGGCAGGAGGGGAGGACCCGGGTCCTCGCGAAAGCGCGCTCCCGCCCCTCTTCTCTGTGCCCCTGCAGCTTGCAGCCTCGCGGGGACTGAGGTCTCAGGTTCTCGAACTGCGCCGCCATCGCGGTCGCGACGGCCAAAGGGGGGCGCCTGGCCCGCGGCCGAGCCAGGGACTGGGGGAGGGGCGGCCTCCCGCCCCCGGGCCGGGGGCTCGCCCATTGGCTGGCCGGGTCCGCGCGACCCGCCCATTGGCTCTCGGCCGCCAAGAACACGAGGCCACGGTGGCGGGCGCGCAGTCGGAGGGCGGCGGGCTGGCTGACCGATCCCGGGCGGCGGGGGCGCGGAGGGCGCATGGCTGGAGCGGGGCTGCGGGCGGCCGCCCGGCGCTGGCTGCTGTGCGGAGACCACGGCGGGCCGCGGGCCTCCTCGTTCGCGCCCTCCTGCCCTGGCTGCGGCCCGCCAGGTCCCAGCGCCCCCTACCCCGGTACCCCACGCTCCGCGCCCTCTCCGGCGCCCGCTGGCGGCGCCGACCCCGGCGCGCACTTGTGGGCTCGTTACCAGGACATGCGGAAACTGGTGCACGGTGGGTGAGCCGGGGTGGGCCGAGCGCCGGGGGTGCGTTTCCCGCGAGGCGGGCGGACGGTCCAAGTGCGGGGACGTCGCTCCGAAGCCGTCTCAGGCGCGGCTCCTCGGGGGCTCGCGAGCCAGAGAACCGGGCAGCTTTGCAGAAGCTTCAGCGATTGTCCCGGGAACTTCGGCGCGTCCCGATTCTCCGCAGAGCGCCCTGACCCTCGGGGGCCGGCGGGGAGGGGGGCCGTGTTTCACAGTTTGGTCTGCAGGAGCTTGGAAGGGCCCCGGGAGTGCGCGCCCTCGTCGGCTCCCTTTGGGGTCCTGCCTAGGGCGGGTCTCAGCGGAAACGCACGCAACCCCTTGTTTTCGGTCAGCCTTTAGGGTGGGAGTGCTGTACACAAAGCCCAGGAGCCACGCTTGCCCAGCGGGCTCTTGGCGACGGGCCGAACCTGAGCTGACAGCTTAGGTTTTTAAAGCATCTCTTGGTTTAGCTGTGGAGGTCGAGCGCCCTCAACAAGGGCGGCAAAGGCGTTGGGGGAACACACCAACTCTTCGCAGTCCCCTAAAATCTCTTACGAGCTCCTACACCCTTGGTCAGGGCTACAGAAGCACACTTAGCTCCACACGCCCCACCCCAGGTCTCCAAATGAGCTGATGAGGCCCAGGTCCCCTCGCAGGGCAGGCTGAGCCAATAGTGAGTCCTGAGAGTTCAGTGCTCGCCACCATCTGGGTGGACTAATGAGGCGCTGTCCCTGCTCCACACGGTTGTGGTTTGGGCTGTGGTGTTACCACTGCCCTTCGAGATGGCCCTCAGCAAGTGTTACCCTTTTGGACCCTCAGTAGCCTCAAGCATAAAACAGTCCCCTAGCCACATCATAGGTTTGTGAGGACTTGTAAAGAACCAGGCCAAGAAGGGGTAGGGAAGCTTCTGGAGGAACCCCCAGGGGTGACATGGCTTTCATTGTCTTATAGGACAAAATAGCCTTGTCTGGAAGATTCCAGCCAAGGAAAGGGGCTTCTGCTCCTGCTGGGTGAAGACCAAGAGGGTAACTAAAACACATCTCTTGACTTGCTGAAAACAGTAGTTAGGGCCTCTGAGAATTGTTCTGAAGCCCCTGGAGGCCTGGGTTGAGCTCTCTGGAAAGCAGGCGGCCTGGGTGTCCTTTAAGTCTTTGTCTCACACCCAGAGAAGACTTTGAATGTCTTGAGAAGCCTCCTTGGAGGTATGAGGGACAGAGAAAGGGGGATCTCCTCAGCACTCCAGGGCCTGCCTGCATCTTCAGACCCTGCACGTAAGTTCCTCTTGTGCAAGGCCGTTTCCACTGATTCACGCTGCATGAGCCAACTGTGAACCTCTCTGGTCTCGACCTGTCCAGCTTATTGAGTTTTCTTGGCATCGAGATATACCTTAGTCTAATGCCTGTGGGCAGAACTTACCGCTGGCCAGCCCCTGTGCATACACACCTGGAGAATGGTCCAGTGGGACTGTCACTGCCTGCCCCACCTGTGGGGCTAGACTGATGAAGAGATTAAGGCCGATGGGCTGACCCGAATGTGCACCTCAGCTCCATGGCCTCAGCTCAGTGGTTTGGATTTCACCTCCCTGAACTCCAGTTTCTTTCTCCGGAGTGCGGAGAAGTTAAGTTTGAGTACCTCACCTCACTTGAGTGAAGATTGAAGAAGATGAACCCCTTAGGCATCCACAAGTGTTTGATGGTTACAAGGAAGGAGCTGGGCTTGGAGCCTGGGCAGGCGAGGGAATTGGGGGCTGAGAAGAGAAAGAAGAAAAGGGGCGGGACAATGACCTATAATCGTCACAGGCCAGCGCTGGGTCAGGGCACATCCTCTCCTGGCCCCACACACCAACCACCACAGCCCTGAGGAAGGGAGAAGGACACTGCTGCCTCAGAGTCACAGGACTGTCAGTCTGGAAACGGGAGGAGGCCTGGGCTTTTGGGCTGATTCTCCATCCTGCTTTGTCCCTGGGAGAATTGTCCACCCTTGAGAACATCAAGCAAGGGCAAAGGCCTGGATTTAGCCAGAACAAAGAGGCCTCCCCCACTTACGCTGGAGAGTTAGGAACACTACACCGAGAGTCATAGCCGCAATTGGTGCCTGGGAACATAGGGAAGCTGAGGCCCAGGGCCCCTGTGACAGTCAGTGAAAGGCGGGCATCTGAGAAGCAGCTCCCTAGAGGACTACAGTTGCCTATGTAGAGCACATGCTAGTGAGGTGCCTCATCATGTCCGTGGATCTGCAGAGCAGCCGCTGCACTGCTGGCCTAGGGCCGCCAGAGAAACCAGCCACACCTGTTCTCACAACCACACCCTGCACTTGACTCCAGAGGAAGAGGGTAGGGATAGATCCCCGTGTGCCACAGGGGTCTCCAACATAAAGGCTTTGGAGCTAGGAGCATATCAGTGAGATGTCTTTTTTTTTTTTTTTTTGGTGGAACCAGGGATTGAACTCAAACCCTTGCACTTGCCAGGAAAGCATTTATTCTACTGAGCCATTTCCCTGGCCCCTAGATGTCACCTCTTGAACCTGGCTGATGCCAGGGGAACTGGGGGTCAGGAACTTCTGCTTTGTGACTAGTACTGGTGACTGAGACGGAGTCCCTAGATTCTTGGACTTGGGACCTACACGCCTAGTCCTTCCTCATCTCCTGTGTGACCCAAGGAAATTGAGGACAGGGAGTTCATAGGCTAGGCTGAGGTGACACATTCCTGAAGTCACAGTCATGGGGTATGTGGGGCTGGTCTGCCCTGGCTGACCCCAAAGCGTT